ACCACTACCACCACCACCACTACTGCTACTACTACTACTACTACTACTACTGCTGCTAGTACGACTACTACTACTACTACTACTACTACTACTACTACCATTACTACTACTACTACTACTACTACTACTACTACTACTAGCAGGACGACTACCACCACCACTGCTACTGCTGCTACTACGACGACGACTACCACTTCCGCCACCGCCACCGCTAGCACAACAACTGCAGCTCCTCCTCTTCCTCCTCCTCCTACTCTGGCTGCTACTGCTAACACTACTACTGCCGCCACAACTACGACGATGCGCTCTTAGTGGTTTGTACCGCTTTCTGAAGGCGCGCCAGGAAGTACAATAGTGCTGCGGCAGAGAGGTTTTATTAACTTTTCGCACAAAAGAATATCGGACAGTCGCCAAACCCGCCACTCCTGTGAGATGAAACTTTTGTAACTGTCTTTCGTTCAAGATGCAAGGCTTTTTTGGCTCTCAGCATCGGTTCGTTTCATGTTTCACCTGCTACCTGCTGGGGCTTGAACTTGATGGCATCGGCGTCAGCCATGCCCGGAACGCACGCAAGCTTGATGACTGTTGCGATTAGAAAAAACCATGGATCTACCCGATCTACAGCTTTAGCGAAGCATTGTTGTGCTTCAAATCTCTCCGTGGATCTACTGGGTCTGCTGCTTTAGCGAGTACTGCTTGCTTCAGATGTACCTGCAGCCAGGGAGCTCATAATGGAAATGTATGTGACAGATGAAAGCTTTCGGCAACATCCGAAAGTTTAGGACTTAGCCTGCAAAATCGAGATGACCAGTACAATTAGCTTAGACACTCCGATTTAAACCCAATCGTTCAATCCCGTGAGATGTTTTCTCGTCACACTGCCCAAAGCTCACCGTCTGAGCCCCGGGCGTAGACTGGTCTCCTGTCATGCTCTTTGGCTTGAATACTAAGTCGGAACAGCGGTACGACGAATCCCAGCCAGGAGCGCAAATTTGTGATGTTTGGGGCAAGGCCTCCTCAAAGCTCCGGCAGGCTGCACCGGAGCCCGTCATTCTTGCGACCGAACTCTCCGGAATCCCTTGCACCCAAGACTTGCAAACTCAGTCGAGCCGTCGCAGGTTAGGCTATGCTGATTGCAGCATATGATCTGATGAATCAGCACTGCATGCTTGCGGCAGAACACGCCGGTCACCGAACGGCCCAATTCCGGAGTTGACTGGTGTTGCACGGATACCTTGGGTTCCAGTGCTTGATGCCGGGGCGTACCGAGGCTGGGCCCTGTCCCATCACAATGCAGAGCCAGGCTATATCGAGAGATTTTGTCTCAGATACCCGAGGGGGTTTGCAAGACAGTGTCGCAGATTCAGACCAAGAGGCTCTGCATTGCAAATAAGAGCAGGGTACAAGAAGCTGCCTGGAGTTCCCTGATGCGGTTCAGGGCCAAGGAGTTTGCAGAGTTTTGGGCGTTTTGGGAGTGAGAGCTGTAGGTTATGGTTCAGCTTGTAGCGAGAAAACCTGTCATCATGAAGATGACGGCATGTTAAGTAAGACCCAACAATGTTAAGTTTCCTGGGCCGGCCGGGCGGTTTCTGCACTACCTTCATGATTACTCCTCCTCCTCCTCCTACTCCTACTCCTACTACTACTACTACTACTACTACTACTACTACTGCTACTCTACACTCTAACCCCTAAACCCTGTATCGCGCAGTTGAGATCGTGAAGATTCTAGGGGTCACGCCAATACCTATGGGCCTTCCCCGGTCCCTGATAATGTGTTAGGGCCCCACACTGTACCTGACCCACTGGATGTGTGACCCAAGCACAGTAGTCACTGAGATCCATATCTAGACACTGGTGAGTTGCATGGATTTCGGTGAGGTGAAGATCCTGCCCAAATTTTGAGGTTGTTCTACCTTCTTGGATGTGTGTTGTGATGGCGGTCTTCTTGCGTTTTGTTTCGCTTCTCAGCAGACCACGAACCACATGCCTCTCGCCTGGATTGTCCGAGTGTGAGCCCGAAGCCCTACTCCTCCTCCTACGACGACGACGACGAGGACGACGACGACGACGACGACGACTACTACTACTACTACGTCCGCCACGCCCGTATGCAGCGTAGGCTTCCTCCGCCCTCTGGGCCCTTCACCGGAAAAACCACACTATCGGCTGACCATTTTTTTGGGGGGTGACGGTTTAGGGTTCGACTGTCCAAAAGTCCAACCCTTGCATGTTGCGTACCGTGCGCTTCACTCTCCACCTCGCTGTTCGCTTGCTCGGCAGCTTAGGGAGTTTTGGGTTTGTCGAAAAAAGGAAGTTTGGCGCAAGAGTATCAGAAATTCCCTGGTTTTGATCGGCACTTCCCGAATGTTGTGGTCTCCTGGATTCAATCTTGCTGTCGTGTTCAGCAAACCCTTTCCTAACGGGGTTTTCGGCATGATCCTGTTTGACATCGGCAAGTTTTTCAGGGAACGTTTTGAGGCAGCCTGCTCGAAAGCAGAGGTTTCACCGTACACTCAGCGCAACATAGTTTGGTTAGAGCACCAACAAGGATGCTCGTTGAGGCACATCCTGAACGATACTTGTACTTGTAAACCTCAGGCCCAAAGACCGACACGGTTCCATCATGTTATATGTCCTGACAGTCCACAGCAAAACACGCAGTACAAAAAAACACATCATAATCCTATTCTAACTATTCGGCCCTAACGTAGATTTGACAAGGGTGCATGACCGCGTCTGACGCGAGGCATGTCTCACAGCGGCTCTGGAACCAAGCCGTGATGGCAAAATGTCCGTGTGAAGAGGGCGCGTGATTTCAGGGTTACTATAAGGACTGCTATTGGGCTTTGCTTTGGGCTTGTACAGGCTTGCACGCGGTTCAGGGCTCATGCGACGCTTGGGATCAGGGTGCCTGCCGCTGTCTATTTTTGAAAGAGGTCGCTTCTGAAGATTGTCGCTGAGAAAACCCATCGTGGCAGCAAAGTAAAGTCCTCCCAACTTCACGAAGACAGTTCCTGCTGCTTGTGCAGTCGGGGGCATGCGGAGTCAATCCCTGTCTTCCACGTTTGTGACGTGGCTTTCCTGCGACACATTGCGTTTACACAAGACTGTGCCAGCTAGAACTCCGCTTCTTAGATCACTTACGCTGCGACTTCAGGAGTCTTACAATTAACTGCAGCTTCTCACCCAAAATGTCTCGACTACTTAGCCCTTATGCTCTCGGGCATCATGCAGGCAGC